AAGGAAGGAAGGAAGGAAGGAAGGAAGGAAGGAAGGAAGGAAGGAAGGAAGGAAGGAAGGAAGGAAGGAAGATGCATGCTATGGGTTCTATCTGGTGTTAGTAGAAGGCCTCAGAAGGCCTGCCCATGCCTTATGCCTGGGGGTGCTTGCTGCCTGAATGTTTCTGGTCTAAACCCAGGGAACCTCTGATGCTTTTCAACAGCTTCTTGAAACTGCCTTTGTCCCAGGCCTGTGTGTGTGCTGAAGTGAAGTCCCACACCAGAGACCACTGACTTCCTCCCTCTGTACCATATACTATCCTCTTACTGTGAGGTCAGGGAAGGGGTCGTCTCAGCAAGGACTAGGTGTGGGGGACTGGTGAGGTCCATCCCAACGCGGTGGGTATCTCAAGACAATCTAGCCTATGACTTCTACCATCTGATGGAAGGCGTGACCCCATGATCCCAGCCTTCCCTCCCAGCAACCAACAGACCCCAGCCGTCAGCACTGACTGAGGCTCTCTGTTTCCCACAATTATACCCCCTTTGTCCAAGTCTCATTCACTGACCCCACCTTGGAGAGTCCTTCTTAGGGACTGCGGTATGGCACATGGTGGGGGGGGGGTGGTGAGGAAAGGTGATGTACCAGAGGTGCTCCCTCATGGAGCACTCTGGAGATGAAGGGCCAGGAATCACTGGTTGGGGAAGGAGCGTGGCAGGTTGGGGCTAATGGGGAGTAGGTACGAATGGAATGCTCTAGAGCCTAGGGCTGCAAATTGCCAGCCATGGAATGGCAAGATTCTACTGGCTGCTCCTCCTCCTCTCCTCCTGGCCACTTCCCTCTCTCTTCACAGAAAGGACTATAAGATTACACTTATTCAGAGTTTCATCATAGAAAATAAAATTTCTCATTATGAGATACTCCTTAAGGTCTTCTGAAATGGGGCATGGTGGCATGCCTGTAGTCCCAGGACTCAGGAAGTAGAGACAAAACCTATGTGGCCAGCTTCACACACACACAAACGCACAAACACACAATTTTTAACACAGCTCAAGATACCTTTGGCTATGTAATAGGTTTGAGGCTAGCCTTGGTTACTTGGGAATTTATCTCACCAAACCAAAGACAATATGATATTCTATAGTATGATATAATAATAATAATAATAATAATAATAATAATAATAATAATAATAATAACAACTGACATCTGATGGAACACCAAATACAACAGCAGGTGCAAGCTGGAGCCATGGCACCATTGCCTTCCTCCTCTGGACAGCAGCTTTGACACCAGAGAAATCAACAGCCTCTTGGCACAAACTTCACATCTTTCTGAAATGCTGAGTCCCAAATGCACCCTGGCAAACAGCTGAACTACTACATCCTTCCCCAAAGCCACTAGCCTATGTTCCAGGCTCAGTGCAAGACAGCCTGGAACATCCACACACAGCGAGGGCAGTGAGAGTGGGGTGGAGAGAGCCCCTACTCAGTTGGCTTCTGCTGCCCAGCACATCATCAGACAGGAGCCGAAATTCATCTGAAGACCGTAGGGAATAAAGTCGGCCTCCATTTAAATGTCCTTTGTAGCTGGGATTCATTCCAGTTCCCAGGCAGTGCCTGAGGGTTAGGGGTAAGGGAGGGCTGACATCTATGCTACAGTGACCTGTGACCCATAGAAAGGTGAGCATGTGTCTCGGCTCCTAATTGGTGGTCTAGAGCCCCAAACCAGCAGTCACATCATATGTGGCCTGTAATACAGTGCCAGAAAGCTGAGCTGTCTTCCCAGGGTCTGTGTCATTCACACGGCCTGTGAGCCAGGCCATTTGCAGTTCCGTTCCAACTCATTTGATCTCTGCTCTAATGTGGGGCTAAGCTATCTTGAGTCTTACAGTGGTGCTGAAATTTGAATAGCACGTTTAAGTAACTGCGCCCTGCCCATTTGAGAGAGCATCAAGAAAGGCTTGCCAATGTAGAAACAGTAATCTGGAGCGGTGCTCATGGGTTTACCAAAGTGAAGTTGGCTGTAACAGCCTTTGTTCTTTCAACAACACTTATTTCACATAGCCTGGCTATGGCTGCCCATCAGATACCAGGCTTGCTGCCATGGAGAAGTGCAATTTCATGCCCACATGGCCACATGCACATAGCCACTGTGCAGAGCGCTGAGGTCAGGAACAGAGGCTGTTTCGAGGCAAACGGGGCCAGACTGCAGCACCGGGCAGGTGGACAAGGCCTGAGCCAGTCCTCACAAAGGTGAAAGGAAAGTCTGTGCCAGCACTAATGGAGGAGCTGGCAATGTGCCTACACGAGGAATCCAATAGCCTTCTCTGAGCCCCTGCTACGACTGGCCCCCAGCCAGGTAGAAATCTACCTCTCCTCTAGCTTCAGTGTCACCAGGCCTGGCAGGAGGGCCTGGCAGGTGCGCCCTAATTCCATGTAGGCTTACACAAAATATGGTCACAATGCAAATCTTGACCTAAAGGGGCAGAAGAACTGCAATATCTACCATCGCACCTCCTGTCTGCCCTGGAGGGAAGGTCAGCTTGGCAAAGATGGACAGAACAGGCCGTGCTGACTTTCACTCATGTGTGGTACACAAGGACGGAGGATGGCTTATAAATGGCAAACTGTCTGGCATTTGCAGCTTCTGGTTTCAGGGGCAAGGAGTCCCTCATGGGAAAGCACAAAAGAAGAGAGGAAAAGCGAATGCTGAGCCCTGTCAAGGGCAAGTCCAAGCCAGGACTTCCATGGTCACCTGAGCCAATCTTGTCTTGCTCAGTGCTGTGCAAAAGCTGCCAGGTGATGCTCTGCCTCCTGGTCAAAGGGTGCTGGGCCTCACTGTGTGGGCCTTACACCTTGCTCCCCGACTCCTGCTGCCTCACTCTGGAGTCATCCTCTCAGAGGCCACACCCAGCTGCTCTGTTTCTCTGTGCCCTGAGTCCCTGTTCTTGCTCAATGTCTTTCAGATTCATCATCGTCATCCAAAGCACTTCCTCATGCAAGCTCGGCCATGGACCCATTCTGTCACCATCACCGCTCCCTTCGGGAAGCCCTGGTGTTTATCCTCTTAGTTGACTGAGTCCCCATCATTCAGCGTCATGCCTGGAACACCGAGGCCATTCAAATCATTCGAGTGTTTACTGGAAGGAAAGGGAAGGGAAGGAAGCCAGGACATGTTCTCACACCACTGAGCAAGTGTGACAACATGGGCCAGCAATGCCCATCAGGGCTGTCGTGGGAGGTGTGATCCTAGACCTGTCAGATCCTGACTCTGACAGCACTTCTCTGTGCTCTCTGCCTTCACTGCTCCAATTGAGCCCCCTGTATTCAACACGCTACCTCTGTTCCAAAGGCTCATCTTCTCCATGGCTTTGCCCCGTTTCCTGCCTAGAAAGGCTGGTCCGGCAGGAACCGGCTGGGATCCCACCTGCCCCTGCCCACATCAGAACTCCTCTCTACCTTGTTGTCAACTTCGGTTTTCGGGACTGTTGTATGCTACAGGTGACCCTGCCATAGTGTTCAGTGAAGGAACCATGGTAAACGGCTCCCTTCCCTGGCTGGGCTGGTAACAGCCTAGGAAGGAGACTGCGATTAAGCAAGTCCATCTGTTCAGAGGAGAAGCGTACTCTTACTGTGAAAAAGAGAAATTCACTTGGGGCTAGAGAAATGGCTCAGCAGTTAGAAGCACTGGCTGCTCTTCCAGAGGACATGGGTTCAATTCCCAGTATGCACATGGCAGCTTACAACTGTCTACAGCTCTGTTTGCAAAGGATTCAAAGCCTCTTCTGGCTTTGGCTTACTGCATGGAAGAAAGTGTCATACGGAGGAAGGCAGCCTTCTGAGCAGCCCTCTCAGTGTGGTTCAGGTTGAGCCCTCTCCTGAACCGTGGGCAGGACAGTTGTCCATCAGGCAAACATGGAATTGGGAGCCTGAGGTTGTCCTGTTTGGCCTGGAACCCAGGGAACGTCTTCACAGAAGAAAGAGAGTGACTGGCTTTCTATGCAGTCAGTCTAAACTGTTCTTGGTTCTCCGGGAAAGCGTTACAAATGCTGATCTCAACATTTCAGAGCCAGCTGGAGGAATGCTGGTTTTGACTGTGTAAGAATTTTCACTTGCCAACTCTTCGAAAACATCTGCCAGGGCTGCTTCTCCTCTATGGTAGATGTGTGCCTGGGGCCAAGCTTGTGTAGCTGGCAGGGGCCCATGGTGCCCCAAGTGACGCATGAAGAAGCCTGAGGCTCACGTATATAGGAAGATCACCTCCAAGAAAAGCTGCTCAGAAAACAAGACAACCTTTCTCCACACACACACAGGACAATGGGTTGCCATAGCAAAACCCAAGAATGGTGGAGGTTCAAGCTCAGCCATGCAGCATGTGCTTGCTTCCAAACCTAAGGCTGCCCAGGGCCCTGCTTTATCACATCGTGCTGGGCCAGTGGGACTATGTCATCCTCCAGTGTGGTGAGGACAGGGTGAGGTTGATTGGTAGAATCAGCTTTGATGGCATAGCAATGTTACAATATCCAAAGCAAAACCCCGAGGAAGATGGCCTCCCTCAGGGGCTGGAAGGTGGCTGGGATGGGCTGGACTTGGTTTTGATGAAGGCATTGTCATCTGAACAACTGCACTTTGTTTCTGCCCTTGAGGTCTATGCTGACCAGGGCCTCTCACTGAGTGCTAGCTGTAACACTAAAATTATTGGGGAAATAATTTAGGGAGCATCCCAGTGCTCATCCAGGGATGCTGGGATGAAATTAGATCAAAGCTAGCCACTCTAAGAGAAAAGACATTTGCATGTTTATAAGTCTAGAAAAAAAATCAAACATTATACAGCAAAAGGCTGCTGACAGGAACCCACTGGGCACACACACCCACTCAGGAGCACATACACCCACTCAGGAGCACACACACACACTCAGGAGCACACACACACACTCAGGAGCACACACCTTCATGCATACCCAAGCATGTACTAGCTCTTGCTGGTACTCCAGGAGGGCTTGACAGAAGACACAAGCAAAACATGAATAACATTGGTCAGTCTTGCCTTACACCTCTCTCTCTTTCTCTCTCTCTCATTGTGCATTGATGTTTTGCCTCCATGGATGTCTGTTTGAGGATGCCAGTTCCCCTGGCACTGGAGTTACAGACAGTTATGAACTGCCATGTGGGTGCTAAGAATTGAACCCAGGTCCTCTCTCAGCTCTTAACTGCTGAGCCATCTCTCTAGCCCCTCGAACATTTTTCTCTTTAAATGGTAATTTCTAGATACAAATATTTACATTTCTATAGAAACTATTTGCCTCTATAAAGAACTATTTGAGGCATCTGGCTTCATTAGCTCCTTAAATATTTAACCTCTATGGCTAAAGCTGGCATCAAAGGCTGTTTAGTCTTTGGTGTGGTCCAAATGCTCTGTCCTAGTTTATCCTTCTGTGTTTCATACTTGATGGCCCATTAACCGCTAAAGACATGCTTTCCTTCCCATGGCCAGAACCACTTTCCTTAAGCAGCAGAAGCACAGAGACTAGAGGACAGAGTTCATGTGTGATTGTCACACTCAGAGTGACACTGAGTTTAACAAGAGCTAAGCCCGTAGGAGGAAGAACCTGAGTTCTACTTTCCTGTCTCCGTAACCCAACATCTCTTTCCCAGCTCCCCCAAGGATGCATTTTACCTTGTTGAGGTTCCAGGAATGGGCCGCCCAGTGTCCACCAGCACACACCAGCAGTATCCGGTGGATGGGTGGCATTGCACTGGCTTGTAGAGGCCACCATGTGCACACTCGGGGATCACCACGTTGTCATTCTTGGGCTGCTTGGCTTCCTCCAGAGCAGACTGGTGCTCCTGGTCACAGGAGGAGACTGTAGGGATGGGAAGAAACAGGTGGTGAGCAGGCACAGGGAGCCAGTGCTGGAGACTGGTGGGTAGTCACGGCGGAATGATACCATGTGCCACCCCCACACTACCGTGGGAACCAGGCCTAGGGACAGACAAGTGGCCCCCTCCTACCTCCTCAGCCACATTGCTTCGAGGCTGGGATGTTTTATGGGATGGAACAAGAATATGTGATTCTCTTCATACTATGTGCCCCTCAACCCAGAGTCCCCGAGAAACACTCGTTATTGTTCACAGGTTCCCATGAAGGACACACTGCCTTCCCCACATGGAGCATGCACTATAATGCACAGAGGTCACCTCCTCTGGGGCTAGAGGCCAAGGGTCTTCTTTGTCTTCAGCTATCACTAGTTCATATCCAAGGGACAGCTGCCAAAAGACAGATAAACCTCTCTCTCTTTCTCTCTCTCTCTCTCTCTCTCACACACACACACACACACACACACACACACACACACACACACACACAACTCTTTCCTAAAAGTCCAAACTGGGCTTAAACCAGTACGTGGGGAAAACAAAACAAAACAAAATACAAAGACCCTAGATTGGCCACATACAGTCTCACTCGGGGGACAGCAAGGAAAAGTTCCACTCAAGCTAAGTCCACCACACCTAAGAGAAAACCTCTACAGCTCAACAAGTGGGAAGCGATAACTGGATCTAAGCCTGCTCTGAAGACACTAGCTACAGCCCCAAGGGGCTCATGAACACTGTGCTAGCATGGGAAGGAAGGCACAAGGAAGCTGAAGCAAGGGGAGGGGATTCTACTTCACCCTAGCCACAACGCTGTGTGTATTAACTAAAACAGCTGTACCTTGCTGAGACTTCCCCTGTGTTGCTACTATCCAGAAGGACGACTGAATGAGAAACAAGAAAGCTAAACTAAACATCTGTGCAGTCAGACATCTTGTAGTACAAGCCCACCATGTGGGGGACGTTCAGCTCTCATGGCTGGTGCTCAAAATGCACTGAATGCAAAAGAGAAATTAAGACACTGGACCTTGACTGACATGTTGTACTGTCTCCCCCACAATCTGCACTGTCTGAGTATATTCTAGGTGTACTGAGCATCTGCAGATACACAAATGGAATATGCCTGAGCTCGCTGGGTAGGTATCTTGACAAAACCGTCACCCAGCTATCACCAGGGCAGGCATGAAACAAAAATCAATAACCACTGGCTTTTTCTTCACAAATCCATCACAGCCGTGATAGCCATTCAAGGAAGCCAAGTATCACAAGCTTTCGGGCAACTCTCTCTGAAGGCAGTTGACACTTCTCTGTGGAACCTCTTGGGCCATCGGTGTAAATGGAACAGACTGTGAAAGCAGCAACCGAGCTACACGCAGCAGCTTGGCAATGCAGACCTCTTCCCTTCATCTAAAGATTGCTTGGCGCTTTTTCAAAATGTTATTAGTTCATAGAAGGCACCGTGTGATTATCTGGCCACAAAATATTTTCGGTGCTCCATTCCAAGGACATATTGTGTCTACTCAAATGGTAATGGAAAATTTTTGAAATGTCCCTATGAGAAATTTGTCATATTTGAACGTTCCTCGTAAACAAAATGAGATTGATCAAATTAAAGAAAACTCTAAAATTTGTTGCACATATTCTAAAATATCAAAGCTACTCTGTCTGGCACAGGTAGATGAAATCTTGTTTGTATGAACATCGGGGGTGGGGAAGATGACCAGGCTAGGCAGGCGACAGTCTGCTTGCATACTGGGAATTCAAGGCTACCAGAAAGCTACAGTCACATTCTCTCACAGGATAAGCCACAGCGGGGGCAGAGGATGTTTTCGTAAGTGAGGAGGGCCTTCATAAATAAAAGAAAGAGCAAGGAGGCAGTTTGGAATGTCTGCCCCTCTCCTCCTGGCTCCTCCAGACCCCAACCACTGCAGAGAAATCACAGGCCATTCTTGGAGTTCCTGGCCCACAGACAGCTCACTGTAAAATCAGTGCAATGCTAAATGTAATGTTCGTCACCTTTCCCTTAATCCACAGCTAACTAGTCCTAGTGGGGTCTATTTCCTATCCACTTCTCTCTTTGTATTTGTTTCTAGGTTAAATCTGAAGAAAAATCAAGTAAAGCTGATTTTCTAAGTTGAATCATTTTATTATTTAACTCTGAATTAATAATTCCAAAATTTGACTCAGTACTAAATGAGAAAGATGAGAAAATCATGGAAGAAACAGTGGAATCTGAGTTTGGACTTACCTAGCCATGAAACGTCATGTTCCTAATGAAAAGGGTACACACGCGCACACACACATACACACGCACACGCACACGCACACACACACACGCACACACACACGTGTGTGCGTGTGTATGTGTGTGTGTGCCTGTGTATGTGCACTTATGTCCACATGTGTATATTCCCAAATCACACATCAAAACCATCACTTTTAAGGTGATGGAACTAGGAAACAGAATTTCTGGGGTGACTGGGTCACAGGCAAGAACCCAGATCTGGTCAGAGGGAAGTCATCTGCCTCTTCTACCATGTGAAGACACCTCAAGAAGGTGTCATTCACAGACCAGAAAATGTCTCAAGAAGCCAAATGTGCCTGTACCTTGAAGTTGAATTTCTGGACTTCCCAAACTGTAGAAAATAGCCTTGAGTTATTTCTAAGTGACTTCATCCATGAGGCTTTGTTCCATCAGCCTGAGCAGACCAAGACATAGCAGGCCTCCCTTACCCCCTCATGAAAACGGCAGCCACGGGAGCCACACGTGTGTCTTAGGAAAGAGGACTCACTGTCTTGCAAAACTGGAGAGGCTGTTTAGGACGCCACAGGCAGCACTCATTAATCCTTCAGAGGTTGTCCCGGCATTGTGCCCCAAGGGAAGGCGCTTCCAGCTCTAGGGCAGCCAGTATTCTGACAAGGGTTCATTGAGTTGTTTTTATTAAGGCAAGCAGCTTCATTACTTAAATGGCAAAACTCTTAGAAAACCAGAAATGTGGAAAACTTTGTCTGAAATGAAGGACATATTCTTTAAATATCCACAGCTGACATCATGTGGAAATGACCTTCCTTTAGCATTCCATGAGAGGTCCTTGGCGAGGCAACAGAGTTAAGAAAAAGTAATAAATATTGTAATAGAAAATAAAAGTCTTTAAACACACTCAACATATTGTATATATAAAATATACTGAGACATCTATAAAGAAAGGAAGAACTAATGAATGTACAAAAAATTTATATTTTATATACAGTGAATAAATGATGGCCAAATAAAGAAAATTAAACGTCATTTGTCATAATATCAAAACTAAAATATTTAGAATTAAACTCATAATGTGAGGTACAAGATATTTTAAAATGCTATTACTAGAAAAAATTTAACTGAATAAATGGAGAGGTACAGCATATAAATGAGTAGCAAGACTTAGGAACATTGTAAAGGCAATTTCTCTAAATTAGTTAGTGGACGTAACATTTCTTATCAAAATCTGAAGAAGCTGTTCAGTAGAAACTAACATGTGGACTCTAAAATGAATTTGGGAATTCAAAGACCTGTATGAAGTCTGAAGCACTGATGCAAGGTTGGGGGAAGGGAGTTATTATTGCCATGTCTGAAAAGGTTCTATAAAACCATTCACCCAGACGGTAGGGTACGACGGCTAAACAGAGGAACGGAGAAGAGTGAAAAGCCCACCAGAACTGATCCTGACAGTGGACCAAAGTCACTCAAGGGAAGTGAAACTTTTCCCAGGAAATGATGGTAGAACATGAGAATGACTGTGTGCCAATTAAAGAAAATAGACATGCATGGCACAGTAATTATACGAGATGAGAGGGGCATGAATATAAAACCTGAAATGTGAAGACTAAAAAGAGGCATTAGGAGTACCCCACCATGTCTTTGGGACAGACTGACCACAGAAGAAAAACTGGGCAAATTAGACTTCATTAAAATTTAAAACAATCACCAGAAGACGCAATTAAAAAGTAAAAGGCAGCCACAGATGAGGGGAATGTTCCTAACACATGTCTGTCAAAGACCCCCAGCTCTTCTCATCAATAAAACCACAAATATTCCAATCTGAAACTCATTGAGACTTCAGAAAACAAGCCATGGACTCACCGTAAACACATAAAGAGAGAGAGGTCAACGTCATTAGTCATCATGAAAATGGTAACTTCAACCACACTGAGATGTCACACACATACGTGCTCCAAATGTTGGTGGGACACGTAGGACCCGGAGCTCTCGGGCCTCCTCACAGCAGACCCAGTGCTGAGACCACTATCCCATCCTGGACACGTATCCAGGAGAAATGAAAGCAAACGTTCAGTGAAAAGATGGACAGAGGATCTTCTCAAAGGTCCCAACCTGCTCTTTGAAACTGCCTATCTATGAATTGAAAAAAATTGCACAATGAATATCGCATGCCATGATATAAAGTTATATGAATACATCAAAGAGAAGAAAGACTAAATCAAGACTGAATCTCAAAACCATTGTACTAATTTTTAAGATGACACCTCAGAAATGAAATCACGCTCTGCTGCCTCCACTTGTAAGAAAGATTAAAGCTGTGAAGAAAACAGCAGATGTCTTCATGGAGAGGTACTTTTTATTGGTGAGGCTCTCCAGAGCTGGGGAGCAGTGTCCACTGAGGGTAGTAAGGCACGGGTTCAGGCTTTTCTGAGGCATGTGTGCTTCTCAGGGTACACCATAATGCTCCCCATCTTCCTGCCTATAAATACTTCGACACTGCAGAGTACGAATGAAGCATGGACTCCCATCGTCTCTAAGTCTGCCTTTCTGTGTGCCTGTTTTCCCCTGCTGCACAGTGACGCCGAGAGCCCTAAGTGCTGGGTTTCTTAGGGAGAAGGTTTTCGTTGAGAAGCGAGAAGGCATCTGCCAGGGCATCGTTCCTGTTCAGTCCTGTGTCCAGGGAACTTGGACAAAAGCCAATGCAAAATCACACCGTGAGAAAGTCTAACT